GACTCTCACTGCTCTATCATTACTTCTACAGAAAGTGTTTGGATGAACTATAATCCCTGCTTCCACGATTTCAAACCTTCATGGCAAGGACATACCATGCCAGATTCCATCCTTATTCTATCAGTGATAAGTTCCACTTAAACAGCTTCTTCCTGCGAATCACTGCTCTGTGGAACTGACTAGCAAGAGTACCTTTCTCCGATCTCTGCAATCTTAACCTGTTCAAGTCTAGGTTAAACCACTATCTTCCTCCCCTACCCACACAGATTGCCTCTTAACATAGCCCTCTATCTCAAGTGGCCTCTGGGCATTTTACAGGGTGAATCTTACTGAAAAAAAATAAAATAAAATAAAGTTAATCTTAATTTGTTTTACCAACAATTTATCCTAACTCCTACACTCTAATGTTGAGGAGGTGCTACTTATTGACCAATATTTTTTTGTTTCGACCTAACTCTGGAGCAAAGAGGAAGGCAAAAAAATGGACAGCTGTGCAGAATCTGTTTTACTGATTTATTTTTAATGTTTCTTCAGCCATTGTACCATCTGGCTTTCATCAGGTGTATGTTGATTCAAGTAACCTACAAGAAATTTTTGAACTGAACACTTTATTTAATCTACAGGGTAGACTGTTCTCATTTAACTTTCCATGTCTAGGGATATCTCATCCAGTTCTTATTTTAATACTGCTCAGTTATTGCTTGCCTGTCTCTACTAAATCCAAGTACACACTGCTTGACCCAGAGATTGAACTCACAATTACTATATCATAAAATTCACAAACCAATGCTTTGTCTTGTGAGACAATTCTGTGTGGAGAACAATCTACTTCCATAGATTAAATCAGGAGTTACGTTAAAAAAAAATTCCCTGTATATTACTTAGATTGACATACATCTGATGAAGGTAAAGTGCAAAATGTCTGAAATGGTGTTATAGCAACAACAATGATGAGTTCAATAGTGTGCATCTAAATAATCTAGTAGTTCTTTACCTTTTAAAGTACAGCCTCCTTACTTCACAAATTGTTTGTGACTATCTTACCAATTTAAGAAGAAACTTAACGATTGAAATGTAGTTCTACAGAAGGATGCTGAGAATACCATGGACTGAACATGTGAGCAATGACAAAGTTTTAGAGAAAATGGAAACAAAAAGACACTTATACTTACAATCAGAAAGAGAGCATTGAAATTTCTATGTCACATAATTAGAAAAAAGACAGCTTGGAGACTTTGACACTGACAGGACATATTAAGGGACAGAGGAAAATAATGCATAACATAAACTGGAATAAATTGATGGCAGAATAAGGTTTAGGAGAGATAGCAAAAAGACAAAATTTACTAAGAGCTACAGAGGACAGGAAATTGTGTAGAGCCATGATCACCAATGTCCTGAAGGAACACGACACATAGAAGTTTGCTAAATTAGACCTTTTTATTTTCTAAGAAACAATGAACAATAATGGTAATTTTTTTCTTTTTGTTCATTGAAGAATTGCAGTCAAGTGAACATCTTGTCCAATTGTAAACAAATCAACCGAAAGGCATCCTAGACAATCGCAGGCAAACAAAGAAACAATTTCTTCAGAGAGTTAACAGCAGCAGAGACATATTTCATTCACTTATTGCACACAGAATTACAATGGCCTTGCAATAGAGACAGCAAATGTCTCCTCCGGACAGGAACAATCAAAAAAAAAATGTCTCCTCCGGACAGGAACAATCAAAAAAAAAATGTCTCCTCCGGACAGGAACAATCAAAAAAAAAATGTCTCCTCCGGACAGGAACAATCAAAAAAAAAATGTCTCCTCCGGACAGGAACAATCAAAAAAAAATCTCTCCGGACAGGAACAATCAAAAAAAAAAATCTCCTCCGGACAGGAACAATCAAAAAAAAAATTCCTCCGGACAGGAACAATCAAAAAATGTCTCCTCCGGACAGGAACAATCAAAAAAAAACTTCTCCTCCGGACAGGAACAATCAAAAAATGTCTCCTCCGGACAGCAACAATAAAAAAAAAGTCTCCTCCGGACAGCAACAATAAAAAAATTTCCTCCGGACAGGAACAATCAAAAAAAAATGTCTCCTCCGGACAGGAACAATCAAAAAAAAGTCTCCTCCGGACATGAACAAACAAAATGTCTCCTCCGAACATGAACAAACAAAATGTCTCCTCCGAACATGAACAAACAAAATGTCTCCTCCAACTATATCAGTAGCTATATATAGTGAGCACAGGATATACTTGGGGGCTTGCTTCAGCAATTACTAGCCTGCTATCCAATTCCCTGTTTTTCAGTAGTGTAGTATTTTTACAATAAACCTCTCTTCTTTCATCTATGCCTATGTTGCTGTTCCTTCACTACGACCTTTGTCTGTAACCTCTTTAAGGATACAAAATAAAACTAAACAAAAAATCTTTCTTTAATAATTGTCAATCTTGAAATTTTAAATTTTTTACATTAATAGTTAAAAACATAAAAAATGTAAAAGCACAAATAATCTCAAAATATTAACTTTGACTGTTACAAATAATGGTCATTATTGCTTAACATATAGTGTCAAATCGCTCCATGTAAGAACTTTTAGAAGAATAGGAAGGCCTCATTTTATGGTACAAAACTTTTGCAATTATGTGCTTATGCCTTGCTTCAAAGCCATACACCAATTAGGAAATTTCTGTGGTTAACTTGACTGCTCGTTCAACACTTTGAGAGTATGAGGGCAAATTTGGTAATTCTAGCTTTGTACCATCAGTAAGGCAAAAGCATGATGCTGTATGTCTTTCAATGTTATCTTCTGGATTTCAGATGGTTGTCACTTGATCCTTTGGATCATATTGTAAATATACCATTCACCTTATTCACAATAGACTTTTCATTTAACAGAAGTAAACAAGGGTTAACTGCCTTCCAAATACCAATCAAAGTCTTTAGAAAGAACCGGAGACCTGATCCTAAACAGAAAACAAAGGATAAACCTCTACTCCTGTCCAAAATTCTGGGAGGAAGTGTGAACCAGACATTAGGCTAACCTATGAAAGAAGTACTAGCCAGATTTTAGGTGGTTAATATCAATTTTATGAAAAAAATTGCATAATAAAATCTGAAAGAGTGTGTGTGTGTGTGTGTATATATATATATATATATATATAAAAACACATAAAAGGTTAATGGTCAGAGTTTAATTTAAAAAAATTACAAGATCAGTTGATTCTGCTATCTTGGTTTCGATTTTACAGTATCCTCAAGCAATTTTTATCAGTTCTTGATAAAAAATCACCAGAGGATACCATAAGGTTGAAACCAAGGTAGCGGAATCAACTGATCTCCTAATTTTTAAAGTGAATATATATATATATATATATATATATATATATATATATATATATAGGAGGTAATATGACTTATAAATTTCTATATATAAGAACAATGTTCAACAAATGAATGACAAAATAGAAAAAAAATTCTGTGTAATGCATTTCCTCCTCTAGAAGGACTTCATTGAACTAATATTTTATTTTGATGGAATTATATATGCATTGAAAGGGTAGATATAAAAATGCAAGTGTTGGTTAAAATTAGGCACCTACAGAAAATGTTGATGATGTTTGGAACACATTAACATCATTCAAAGAGATGTAGATGAGAATGGAAAACAATATTCAAAGGTCTGAGAAACAAAAAAAACAATGTCGCTTTGAAGCAGTAAAAAAATTTTTTTTTAAATCAATGGCTGAAACACTAAAGGTTCTAATTTATTATAATAGATATAATCATGTTCATTCAATATTATATCTTTCCATAACCTATCATTTAGGATTTATTCATAAAAATTTATGTTGATTTAGAATGTGTAATAAAACATAACACCTCCCCAAACTTAGACATTTAGAATAGGTCATCACTAGAACTGACCTATTCTAAGTGCTTGACAATCTGTTTATAACTGTGGATCTTTTGGTTACATGCATGCTTGGTATATCTTAAGTAAATAAATTCCAAGAAATGCAATATTTACACTGTACGTGGCTCTGTTTGGAAAGACATTGAGCACTCTATTCAAGAAAGCAGTGTTAGACTGCATTTGGCTGTATTACATTTCAGTAGAATGAATAATAGTTTATTATATATATATATATATATATATATATATATATATATATATGCATGCATGCACAGACACACACACATATATATATATATATATATATATATATATATATATATATATATCTCTCAAGTCATCTGAAGATCAAATGAGCGTGAAGCCTGGGTTACAACTAGAGCCATCCTTTCATAAGATTTAATATTGTTAAGCATTTTTTGCTTGCTCTAGACAATCTAGGCTCCAAGCACTTAACTTTGCTGAGTAGATAAGTTTGCCTTAGGCCTTTTTTCTCTTTCTTTTTTCAGTATTATCATTGTTATTCAAGAATGTATTTGGATAAGAGTTTTAGGTTTTGCCAAGTTGTTCATTGATTCCATCAATGGTTTTTTTTTTTTCTTTAATATCTTATATATATATATATATATATATATATATATATATATATATATATATATATATATGCACACACACACATACAAAATAATTAAAAAAAAAATATAAACAATATGCATATGTGTGTTTACCAACTTTTACAATATAAGTATGTATGTTTACTGAATGTACGAAATGTACTTCGATTCCCTGTCGATGGAATGTTCAAAAAGGGAAAAAATATGCAAACTGAACACAGAAATTGTTAAAAGAAGAATTTCATTTTTTATTTCTTTGACCACAAGAACTTCTCAAAGAATTTTTTTCTCAACAGAAAAGTGCAGAGACATCTGAAAGCAAGATCTCCATTAGTAGGATTTTTTTTTTTTTTTTTTTAATTCCATGTTTTTTTTTTTTCTGCAAATTTCAGATATTTGTACAACCAATTTCTATAGACAGAAAACTTGGATTGGTATAGAAAAAAAAAGATTTGATACAACTATTGACTTACCAATGACACTGAGGAGGAACCAACTTTGTAAGAGCTTCTAAAGATTTTTCTGACCGGTATTCCTGAAAGACAGAAGAATTAAGCATAAATATCCACTTCTTGCACAATAAGAACTCAGTCGTTTGGAAAAGAAGATCATATACACACAAGTATAATGCGAGTTTTATGATCAGTTTTTTTGGGGTTTTTTTTTTTTTTTTTACACAACATATAAGGAGTTGCACTATACACAGGTAATTATTTTTTTTAATGCAGTTAAAGATCATGCATTTTAAGTGACCAATAGACAAGTAAATTTTCAGTACAATACACAGGTAATTTTTTCTGTAGGTGTTAAAATTCATTAAAAAAAAATTCAGGGATCACCCATACATACAGTCAGCTTGCACACAAGTATATATGGCACATGAAACATTGACTTTCATGATTACAACCAACAACCATTATTAACAAAAAATATTACATGTTTTTAAGTGTCTAATATTTCAATTATTGACTGACAAAAAATACAAAATTTTAAACTAGTGTAATAGTAGTAGACATCTATTTATATTGCAAGATAAAGGTAGCACCCTTTCTTAGTGATACTGGAGGGACCTCTCCAAGACGCAGACCCGGACAATGGTACATGGAGACTATACACTGCTCAGACCACATAATTCTCCTCTTAGCCATACTGACAGAATCCAAGGGAATACAGGGTATTATATCTTGGCTGCAGGATTTTCCAGAAGTTGACTGTCAACTAGGGCGGGGGGGCTATACTCTGGATTTTCTACCTGGATTTACTTCTACAGTCTTACCTGTGTTTGGATATAGAAGTCATAAGGTAGCAGAGGTTTACCAATCAGACTTGATTTGATTTACAGCATATCAACACCTCAATGGGTTATTTAATGCTGACAAAATTTTTATTGCTGCTAATATTTTTTCCTTCAAAAATGTATTGCTGGTATTGAAACCTATTTTTACACTTTCATAGTGTTTTGACTCCAGTTTTGTGTTGCTCATAGCTGGGACCCTAACAGGTGCTACCACCTGCTGGGAAAACCAGCAATTAAGAGGTGATTCCATACTTCTCAAAACCTCCTGATCCAAGACCTTGCTGTTGGTCATAGTTTATAGTCTTACCCAGCACACAAATGTAGTCTATTGTCATACCCAGCACACAAATGTAGTTTATTGTCATACCCAGCACACAAATGTAGTTTATTGTCATACCCAGCACACAAATGTAGTTTATTGTCATACCCAGCACACAAATGTAGTTTATTGTCATACCCAGGACACAAATGTAGTTTATTGTCATACCCAGGACACAAATGTAGTTTATTGTCATACCCAGGACACAAATGTAGTTTATTGTCATACCCAAGACAGTGCTGATGTAGTTTATTGTCATACCCAGGATGGTTACCAATCAGGGTTTCCTCTTAAGTTTGTGTAGCAAATAACCAAGGGTCAACTGTGGCGATTGGGCAGTTTGAACATTTTGAAGCAGGATTCAAGAATTACAAAGAGCTTTTTTTCTGAGATCCACAGAAATTTATTTTCATTTCACCAATTCCCATTTATTTATTGACAAAAGAGGAAATACAAATACATTTCCCAAGAAATTAGCCAACCCACAGTAATATTCCAATTGGGTTGTGAGTAAACACCCATTTGTTACTAAGCTCTGAAACAGTGTATAGATAATTTAGATATATCAGCTCTGATAGGAATGAAGGAGGAATTATGTCAAAAATGTACACATATTTTGTTTAATAACAGCAGTTATAATTATTATGGATGTGTGGGTGGATTGCGTAATGGTTGGTGACTTAGAAAAGAAATCAATGAACCAAGTCTGAATTCATTAAATTCACTTTTGCACAAATACCCTTCAAAAATGTTAGAAATTTCTCCCCTCCCCATCACTGCCGGTCATGGGCTAAATAGCAAAGCTCTCTTGCCTTGAAATGAAAACCAGTCTAGAAGAAGAACTCTAAATTCAAAACAAATCTGAAGAGAGATAGGCTATTTTACCCTAGACACACCACTTCTGCTATGGTTACAAGATATGCCATGCCACTAAATCCCAATGGGTTATGGGACTTGTGATGATCATTATTGCTTAAAAATTAAGCATATTTATAATAAAGAAAAATGCTTTAACCCAACATAAAAAAAGAATTTCAATATATTTAAATGATGGTTTCTTAGAAGCATCTATTCACAATATTAGTACCTTGGGGTTTTCAAACATTTCATTTAAAATATTATATACCTATTTAGTTCTTAATTTTCTCATTATATATTGTCTCAAATATCCTTTCTGGACAAATGAAAACGAAAGCAAACAAAATGTTTTATCTTGACAAATTGTATTCTACCATCTGTTAACTGGGGCAAGGAATGGCATGTTAACTTTAATGCCTTCAAAAACAATATTCCTCTCCATTAATCATCTGAAAGATCCCTTTCTGCTTCTCATCAGCATGATGCTAACCCCCAGGAGAGTGACTTGTTATACCTTCTCAGGCTAACAAATTCTTAGCTAACATAAAATGGAAAGATAATATTGAATCCATTGCTAGGTCTACTGCTTAGTAAGTTGGCTCACTGTGTCATGCTAGACAATTTTTCTCTCCAGAATCTATCTTACATAGTTATAAGTCTATCATTCATTCAGCAGTTTTTAATATTGCTGCTACATCTGGTCTGGTGCTTCTGCTATGTATTTAGAGATTCTGAATAAATCTGATATTATTGGTTCAGACCTGACATCATGGTTTCTGTCACTTTCCCACCACTTCTCTGTACCTTTTCTATCAATACTTTCTTGGTAATTGTTTGGCTGAACTCTTCGTTATGGTACCTAGGTTTTATGAATTTAAGCACAGTACTAGATTGGCAGTAAGGTCTCATCAATTCACAGATGAATTTGCTAGATGCAACTAAGTTCTATGCTAACAGTTTCCTTTCTTGCTTGTGGAACTCTCTTCCAGTTCCATGCTTTCCAGTCAATTTTGAACTTTAAAAATTTAAATACAATGTCAATCATTATCTACTGTCTTGGTTTTTCTTCTATTGTTCTCACTCTTTAATGTTTTTATTTTTCTCATTCTTTTAATTTCAATAACCCCTTGTGTTTTAGTGGCTTTACTGCCTTGCATGGGGTGTTATTAAAAATACACCTTTAAGTGCTGAATCTATGTGCGTCATCAGTGTTGTTGCTCCCATGTCGCTAGAAGTTTCGCGTCTAAATAAACAACAGACTTCTTTGATGGGCGACTCGACCAGATATGATCAGTATTTTTGCACTTTTCAGAATAAAATTAGCTACTAGCTTTAGGACATGCATTATATAAGTTCCCCAAAAATGGCAACTAATCAAGACTTCACTTGTGCTATTTGATGTTATTTTAAACGGGTATGCTTGGTTGTACCGATCTTCCTACATGCAAGCCAAGACAGGGTTTTTTGGAAGAAGAGAAAAAATATATATATATATATATATATATATATATATATATATATATATATATATATATATATATATTAGAACTTTATTATATTGGCTCATTTTATGACTTTTCTTTCTCTTTTGCCCCTTTTAACTTCTCTATTATGTCTTATTTGTTTGGTCTTTCTCTGTTTATAACTCTCCTTTTTATTTTTTTTTATGAAATAATAAAACAACAGAAAAAAATATTTGCGTGAATAACAAGCTGTTTTATTTTTTTTTACTGAAAATAAAATGAAACCTATTTTTCAGTTAAAAAAAAAAAAAAAAAAACTGCTTGTAATTCACATATATTATGGCTAAAACAAGAAACTCCTTTTGTAGTTACTTGACAGGGGTATTCAGAATACTGTTTGACTAAAGAAAAGTTGAATTAAGGAAAGACATTTTGTTGGGTGTACATACACACTGCAGTACTAATAGAAGGTTAAGCAGTGAAAATGTCTTCCTGCAGTAAACAAGATAGCAAACATCAATTCTTGTAATTGTTAAACAATTCTATTTAACTACAATCTATAAATTGCGCAATTATATTGTATCTCGTGACATAAATGGTTTGATTAAAGTATCTTCCCGGAAAGAAATAAGACATGCAAATGCCATTTTTTTTTTAATCCTTCTACCAGAAAATATTTCATTAAGACCTAACAATAAAAATGGTGATTTGCTTCATCTTGAAAATAAAACTCCTCTTTTCCATTAAACAGATGCAGAATTTCTGGTACATTTGCTCTCAAAAGTTTGTTCATGTCTATTGTTCAAGACACTTTCTGTACTAAGAGGGAAGGAATTCAAAATGGAAACAATCAATATTCAACAATAGGTGATTCTAATAACATTTTCATTCTTATTCACATCATCTGAAAAAGAATACAAATGGCTCTTCCTCTCTTACTAATGAACTAAAGGAAAAATCATTCTCTCTCAAAAATTAGTTCACTTTCTTTCTCCCAAGAACTGGATGTGGATCTATTAAGAACTGACACTCTTGCTTTTTTTATCAAGAACCGGCTTTCCCGTTCTCTCTCAAGAACTGGCTTTCTCGTTCTCTCTCTCTCTCAAGAACCGGCTTTCCCGTTCTCTCTCTCTCTCTCAAGAACCGGCTTTCCCGTTCTCTCTCTCTCTCCAAAAAATGAGAAAATGATCTCTCTCTCTCTTCTCTCAAGAACCGTTTCCCGTTCTCTCTCTCTCTCTCTCTCTCAAGAACCGGCTTTCCCGTTCTCTCTCTCTCTCTCTCTCTCTCAAGAACCGGCTTTCCCGTTCTCTCTCTCTTCTCTCAAGAACCGGCTTTCCGTTCTCTCTCTCTCTCTCTCAAGATACTTTTATTCTAAAAAAGAAATCTCTTCTCTCTCTCTCTCAGAAATATTTCCGTTCTCCGTTCTCAAAAAAAAAAATCCGTTTTTTCTCTCATCTTTTGCTTTCCGTTCTCTCTCTCTCTCTCAAACAAGGCTTTCCCGTTCTCTCTCTCTCTCTCAAGAACCCTAGCTTTCCCGTTCTCTCTCTCTCTCTCAAATAAAAAAATATTTTATCTCTCTCTTCTTAAAATCTTCTCAAGAACCGGCTTTCCCTCTCTCTCTCTCTTCTCTCAGTCAAAACGGCTTTCCCGTTCTCTCTCTCTCTCTCTCATCAAGAACCGGCTTTCCCCGTCTCTCTCTCTCTCTCTCTCAAAACCACTTTCCCGTTCTCTCTTTTTCTTTTTTTGCAATGATCTTTCCCGTTTTCTCTCTCTCTCTCTCAAAACCCATTACAAATCCCTCTCTCTCTCTCTCAATACCGGCTTTTCCGTTCTCTTCTCTCTCTCAACAAGAACCTCTCTTGTTCAAGAACCTCTCTCTCTCTCTCTCCAGAACCGGATTTCCCGCAAGTCTCTCTCTCTCTCAGATACATTGTTTCCTTTTCTCTCTCTCAAAAACCTCTTGGTTCCCATTCTCTCTCTCTCTCTCAAGAACTCGCTTCCTCGTTCTCTCTCTCTCAAGAACTTTCTATTCCTCGTTCTCTCTCAAGAACTTAGAATTCCTCGTTCTCTCAAGAACACTCTCTCTCTCTCTCTCAACTTTCTTCTCGTTCTCTCTCTCTCTCTCAAGAACTCGCTTCCTCGTTCTCTCTCAAGAACTGGCTTTCTCATTTTTTTATCTCTCAAGAACTGGCTTTCCTATTCTCTACCAAGATGACCAATATATAAACTATACTTTCAGGCACAAATGAAAATTTAACCAGGATTATTTCTATTCCAAATCAACATATTTAAAAAATAAAAACATATATCTAAATATCATTTTAGATTCAGCCTTCTTTTATTCTTTTGTTCTATCAAACAGATTTGACAAAACACACTGAATTTGGATTTGTATAAATAGGCATTAATAATATCAGTATGCAAAACAGGGAATTTGTTGACTGAATGAAAAACTGACACCACAAAGGAAAAGGCACTTGACAGCCATGGTAACATCTGCTACTAAAGCCAGGGAAACCAACACAAAAAAGTGACATTCACAAACCTAAAAAGAATATTTTCCATAGCAGCAAAGTTCAAAATAATTCACATGAATGATCATTTTCAAAAATAATAAAAATCAGACATGTATTCAGCAACTATAATTCCCACAGCTGACGTTTTATAAAATAACAAGAGAGAATCAATTGAATGGGAAACTGTGTTGTTCAAAATAGATAAATTTAAAATATATTTCTGTAGGTTACGATTGTAATATATTGATACAAGATATACAAATATATGCACATTTTTTTCATATTACTTTAAATGTTATATTTAAGGGATACACATGTTTGAGTAGACCCTGTTCTTTTTTTTTTTTTTTGTTGTTTTAACAGTGTAAATTCATGTCTACCGGCCTGTACATTAAAGAGTCTTAATATAGAAAATGGTAGGGTTTGAACCTTTGCCTCTTTTACAGAAGAAAGCACCATCTGATCCAGTATGCAATACACATATATACACGCACAAAGAAAAAAAATCAACCTATAAAAAGCACATAAATTATTTTTTTAACTTTATATAAAAGTAACAAAAATGAGAAAAATCCGCAGTAAATTGTTGAGATCTCCTGATGAGTGGACTAAGCGATTACAAAAAAGGTTTGCCTATGAAACTTTGAAGTCAGAGCGCTAAATATAACAAGGATCAGCTAAGTGTCTGTCTTTTGCACAAATATTTTCATGGAAATTGTTCTGATGAGCTTTCCTCCTTGGTGCCTAGACTGCATGAAGTTAAGTGTTACTAGATTGGCAATTAGGTCTCACTGTTTTACTGCTGAAGTATTTAGATGCAAATGTATGTTCTATTCTAATAGTTTCTTTTGCACTTCTTTTTGCCTGTGGAACTCCATTCCGATTTCTTGCTTCCCTGCCACATACAATCTTCAAAAATTTAAATGCAATGTCAATTGCCATCTTCTGTCTTGACTCATGTTCCTTTTTTCTCCTCTCCTCACTTCTACTCATTAAAGTCTTCTCATTCCCTTTCACTCCCTTTAATCCCTTCTGTTTTAATAGTATTATTACTTTGCTTGGAGTGAAACAATTAAAAGAAATATTATTATTACGTTAATAACATTATATATAATATTATTATATTAAAAATATTATTAAAAAATTATTGCCTTTTTTTGGAGTGAAACAATTAAAAATGATATGTATATATATATATATATATATATATATATATATATATATATATATATATATATATATATATATATAACTATATAATTGGTATATACTGGAATGAATTCAATAACCAACAATTACTATTCTTAAAAGAGTGCTCAATACAAAGTAGAGCAGATATAATAATTATTTATAAAAAAATTATAAGTAAAATGTTAAAAATCATCAAAATAAAAAAAAATAAAAAAAAAATCTTTATCTTGAAAATGTTGAAAAAAAAAAAAAAAAATCTTTTATCTTTTAAAATCAAAATGGCTAAATTTTTGTAGTGATTTTATAACATGCTTATGTTATAATTTTTTTTTATAAATAATTATATATATATATATATATATATATATATATATATATATATATACAGAGAGATAAAATTTCACATATTCAAGAGACAAATAATTCTCAATGATCATAAATGTTATTTAAATCTGAAAATATATAAAAGGCACTGGCAGAATAATTGGTCATATAAATGCTGTATTAAAAAATGAATTCAAACTGAAAAGGAAAATAAAGGTCTAACCCACCTCCATCATCATCTATGTTGGAGATCCACAAAAAAACAAAAACAAAAAAAAAACATCTATATATACATAAAGAAATTGGGAAACACTAACAAATGCACAGCCTTCCAAAAGAGCAACATGTGGGAGAAGATTGGGGCTACTTACTCTAGTGAGGGACACTTTCAGCCAAACATTTGTGTTCGTAAATTAAACAGGACTTTGGTTTGGTTTATTTTGTTTTACAGCATATCAACCTCAATGGGCTATTTAATGCCAACAACATTTTTTATTGTTGGTAATATTTTGTTTTGTCAAAAATCTGTTTCTGGTAATATTTTTCCTCCAAAATTGTATTGCTGGTAATAATTAACTATTTGCCCATAGCTGGGACCCTAACAGGTGCTACCACCCTGTGTCAGGGTGGACCTGGGAACACCAGCAATTAAGAGGTAGTTCAACGCTCCTCAAAACCTCCTAATCAGAGGCCTTGCTGCTGGATGTAGTTTATCGTTTTATCCAGGATGCGGATGTAGTTTAACATCTTACCCAAGACATAACAGGACTTTACAATAAAAGGAAGAAATTCCTGGATAGACAAACATTGTAATGTTGCCTTTATTCAAGAATGTTCAAGAATTCGGAAGGCCATAGTTAGAGAGAGTAACAAAGGAACAGAAAATGGTAGACTAGGCAGAGGAAAACAAAGGAGAGGTTTATTAAATACTAATACATAGAAAAAACAAAAACAATACCAGGCAATGAAAGTTGTCCTTGCTAGTTGGCTATAACCAAGTTACTGCAACAACAAGCCTAAAATTATCACACAAACCTAATTTGAATTGCATATGTATATTCTGCAGCAATGTCTGTTTTCACAAAGACCTTTACTTCAAAACCTGTCATGAGCCAGGATTTTCAAATAAAAGCTGATCTTTAAATATCAAGAACTGTTACAGCTACCAATGTATTTTGAGACAAAATGTTCCTCTCTCTCATTCCAACAAAAGGCAAAAAACATAAACAAACAGTAATAGCAACAAAAAAAATAAACAAACAGTAATAACAACTCAAACACATGTATCCAATAAAAATAATCTTTATAGCAATAAGTTACAAAATAGCAAAGAAAAAAGAAAACTTATCTACTTACCTGGACAAATCCAACTGTTACAACTATCACAATGGCCTGAATAAGAAAATAAAGACAGAGTAAAAAGAAATTGTACAAAGAATTACAATGAGAAAATAAAATAATTGGTTGTCAAAAATTTAAGAGCATATAAATACAATGGTACAACAATATAAGTTGAGTTATTTTAAAGGACAAGATTAGATGAAATTGCCTGAAGATTGAGTTTAAGCATGAAACTGTCAATGTCCACTTTTATATTTACATATGCACTATCCCTGATATTAGGTATTTCATCCCATAAATATAGCATATCTTAATACTATATATATATATATATATATAAGTTGCATTCAGATAGAGAGATGTGTGGCCTTGCCATGACATAATTTGCATCTAACTGATGCAAGTAAGAAAAAAAAAATGCCTCTTCATTTCTTGTCTTCTCTCCAATTTTAAGATCTTATTTTAAAAAAAACAAAAAAAAAAAAAAAAAAAAAAACAAAAAAAACTAGCTTAATGGCCCTCTGCCTTTAAGTTTATCTCATATTCTTTCTTTTTTTTTTCCTTAAAAATTGTCTTACAAGAGTTTTTGGATAGCTGAGACTATTCCATTAGGAATATGTTTAATTATATTTGGGGGTGGTTGGATTTAATAGTTACATATCTTAACTTTGCATTAAGTTTTATGTACAGGGAAACACTGTCAGTGAGGTTTAATTCAATGTCCAGATAGTAAATGATTTTTTATTTTTATGTCAACTTCTATTTCAAAAGCCAAGTTTTTTAAAAAGCACTTTTCTAATAGTCTCATTGGTTCTTTTTTTGTTTGGTGCTATTATTAGGCCATCATCTCTATATAGACTGTGGTTGTTTATATGGACGAACGTGTTGATTTCATATAAAATATGCCAACTTATTAGTTCAGAAAATTCACTGCCATCAAAGGAACTTTGTGGTATGTCAAATCAGTCTTTTTTTGATTTTTTTAATCCAGGTTCTTCCGTTGTGGAAGAAAATGGATTTGTGGCAATGTAAAATAATTTCCATTTGGTCTGGTGTTATTTCTACAAAACCTTTGGCGAAATGCAGAGCCTCCAGTAGACATTTTTCAGCTATAGATTGATAGAAATGCTTAATGTCATATTTCATGAATACACGATTTTTATTGTTGCTTTAATGGAAGCAAGAAATGCAGTCACTTGTATCCTTCTATTGATTTGCTTGTGTGGCAATTATTAATGAGTCGCATATATTTTCAGAATTACTTGGCTTATTTTACCCAGTTCAGTTTTGGTAGGATTTAGGAGGTGAAAAGATGGATTGTTAGTGAATTCTTTCTTGTGGTCCTTTATAGTAAGACAAACTTACTTATAATCAATTACATGGACGCTGTTACTTATCCCTAGTTTGGTTGTCATATTTTTGCCTTCTCTTAAATTTTTAATGTACAAGTCCAGTGACTTTTTGTAAGATAACTCTTCATTCATTTTTTCTGTATGCTTATATATATATATATATATTTTTTTTTGAATATATATATATATATATATATATATATATATATACACACACACATATATATATATATATATACACACACATGTACACACACACACACACATATATATACACACACACACTGTGTTTTCTTGTACATAATATGAGAAATTTTGAATGAAGATAAAAAGAAAAAAATGGGGTTTGTACTAAGCACAAGTTCACATTTTCATAAATTTTTACTAAGGTTAAAAAAAACTCTTATTTGAAACACAAAATTACAAATATGCTGAGTTAGCACAAGAGATAAGACATGATCGGCAGGTGTTGATAACAATTGTTTACATACGATATTTGATATGTCAGCAATATTTGTTCAATAGGAATCAACATCTTTTGCCCAAATTGACTTCAAAAATTAATAAAGTGGATAAAACACATTTGTCATAATTTTATTAAAATTAATTATGCAACAAAGGATCTTTCCCTGCAAGTTTAAAACTAAGTTTTGAAAACAGAAATTAAGAGAAGAAACATGCAATTGCTAAACATCTGGTTCATTTCTATTCTTTAATATCATGAAGAATTAATTATTTTAGTGAAGTATATCTATGATATTGAGATTTTAATAGACAATATGGTACAACTTTAAAAAAAAAAAAAAATTATATAGGGATGGCTGTACTATGGGGTCAATATTATAATCAAGGATATAATTTATTCCTTGTTCTTAGCTTCAGAAATACAGGGTCATATATTTTAAAATCAGTTTATTTTCATAGTTTATTAATATACAGAAATATAATAAAGTCATATCAAACAAAAAAGCATGACTGATTAATTAACACCTTAAAATTTATTACTGGGTATGCCTAGTTAGCACCTTTCCAAAAATACTTGAAAATAAGTTTTTAAATGAAAACTAAGAGAAGAATCACACAATGTCTATTCTTTAATGTGAAAAATTAAATATTTTAGTGAAATATATGTATAACATTGAGATTTTAAGGGATAATAAGGTACAACGTTTCAAAACAATTTACATAAAAGGTAGCTGTCCTACAAAGTCATTTTTTTTAAGCATTTCACCCCAAGCAATGCAGGAGTGCCACTAGTGTGCAAGGGGTTACAGAGAGTGAAGATAATAGAAAAGACTGAGTATTGGGGGGGGGTGATTGAGGAAAGGATAAAAAGAAGAATGGGGATCAAGGCATCAGAATATGACAATTGACATTACATTTAATTTTTTTTAAGAGTGTAGTTATCGGGGAAGCAAGTAAGAGAAAGGGCGTTGCACTGTTGTGAAGTGCAAGAGAAGAAGCTTTTGAAGTAGAAGAGGCGGTTACATTTAACTGTTTCAACAGTAAGATGGTGGGACCTAAATGCCAATCATGTAGCATACTTAAATTCATGCAGTCAGGGCACCAGGGAAAATAGCTCATCAGAGCAGTTGCCATGAAAATATTTGTAGAAAAGACAGTGGGAAGCCACATCACATCCCTGAGAAAATGACCGGAGTAGAGGTGCCAAGTCAGGAACAATCACATTGTAGATCCATCTTTGGATTTTGTCAAGAACATCAAGATGAACAGCAGGGGGCATTATACCATATATGGCAACAGTATTCAATGCATTGACAAAAGGTAGATTTGTAGGACGGACTCAAACAAGAAAAACCTTTGGACATGACTCAGAGAACCAACTTTCCTTGCTACTGCAACAAAAAGTTGCAGCAATTGATTCAATGTAGTTGTTCCACCTCAGGTCAGTGGAAAACATGGAGCCAAGAAGGTCCAGTGAGGCACACTCGTGTAATTGACCATCAAACATGCTGATAGAGAGCACAGAAGTTTCTCTATGGTGGTTGTATTATACACAATGATGTAATTTATTCCATAATTCATTATATATATATATATATATATATACACACACACAGGTCTTAAAAGCCACTCGAGATGTTATCAGTGACCAAGTGATGATATTTAGAATGTATGAAAAATTAAGGAAGTTTGATTGCAAGAAATGGTCTTATCAGTCACAATTGATATCCATATATATATATATATATATATATATATATATATATATTGAACAATAAAAAATATTTAAAAAATTAAAATCTTCAGACACACTGGGTTGTATATTAATATTCTTGTGTTTTTATTATTATTTCATTTTAGATTTCTTGACTAGTTTCGGCCATCATCAGGAGAAAAAAAATTTTCTGCTTGCTGGTAGCAGTGAATGAATATATATATATCTATCTATGGAACAATATGCAAGATATTTAGTATGGGTATAGCAGTATAATATTTTCTGTATTACTAGAAGACTGTTCTGTCAATTTAGTAGAAATACCTCATCAGGATGAAAGCCATATTGTGATAAAAGAACTTTTCAATTGCAACTGGCTCTTTAGATAAATAAAATTAAAAAAAAAAAAAAAAAAGATGTGCTTAAATATATTCATATATTATAAATTAGTTTCATTTATTATAATTTTATTATTCATTTATACCATACAAGGAGACATTGCAGAGCATCAATTGTCATCTTCATTTTAGCTTTAATTTTTTTTTTTTATTCTTGGACTGCTGAAAAGAAAATGCACAGTTTTTTTTTTCATACATGTTTCAAGCAATTGCAAATTAAATATGCTGTCATTTTTTGACAGCAGGTAAACTAACATTATAATTTAGAAATGACATCTTACATTTATGCACATAAGACTTTATAAATTAATATACATAATTATTACTTATACTTTTATATTAGCTTTTATGCCACGTCTCTTCAGGATGCATACAACCAAGGCTCTCCATAAATTACTTTTCTTTATTATCTGTGAATTACCAGGAATTCTTGGGAAATATAGTGTTTCATTTTGCTGCCTTAATGCTTTTGAATTTGGTGCTATCTTTCTCCCTGTAGTACATGGGCAATCATGGCTTCCGTTTCTTTATTATCTGTGAATTACCATGGCTTCTTGGGAAATATAGTGTAGTGGTACAATGACCGAAACATCAGAAATATGACAATAAAGATGAGGAACAAGGTAAATAGTATCAATAGTCACAATACCTCATCTCAGAAATCTAGACAGATACTAATATACAATAAATATTATTAGTCTTATTTTCAACATTATTATTTTTTTAACTCTTAAATTTCTTTCATCAGCCTACTATATTTATATACATACATTATGCGATGGATAAATTGTCGTATAAATTTTGTATAAAAAAATGAAAATAATTATATATGTGTGTATGTATGTATGTATGTATTCATACCCTGTGTGTAGGCACACATACATACATACATATATATATATATATATATATATTAACACACAATAAATTCCCAAATCACCTCATATGGGGAATATTTTTTAATTAAAACTAACAAAAAAAAAAAAAAATTGTCAGTCTTATTCAACACCAGTATACTGAATTCATATTAGAATTAGAAATTCAACTATGAAAATATAATATATAAAATATATATATATATATATATATAAGTGAACATTGAAGTCAAGATTCAGAAATGTCAGGCTGTTGCTCTGAGTGTTGACTTCAATGTTCACTTTTATATTTACATACAAAATCTCTGAGCACTTTATCCCATAAATATAGCACATAAAACTATATTTAATATATATATATATATATATATATATATATATATATATATATATATATACACACACACACACAACCCAAAAAATAGTATACCAACAGATTTTACTATATATATATATGAGAGGTTGTATTCTGTTGCTGAAGCTTGGTTGAAATAGTCTCACAAAGTGTCAAATTCCTTAAACTAACCCTGTCATCATGACTATACTCAAAGTCAGGCACAATTTTCAAATCAGCATTATATATATATATAGTATATTTCTATGACAAATTGTCAACATTTATTCATTTAAGTTGTGTAAAGTAAACATTCACTTGAGTTTTTTTATTTAATAACAAACTAAGTCTTGTTTCCCAAACAGTTAATTTACTTTTACAGTCTGAAATCATTATAACAATTACAATTGGACATTTTTTTTTCTTCTATGTGCTATGTTCCCTCAGGACATTGACAATCAAGGCTCCACACAGTTTCCTGACCTTTGTAGCTCTTAACAAATTTTTTTTTTTTTATATCAGTTCTAAACCCTGTTCTGACATCCATTTACTCAAGTTCACTAGGTAGCTTATGCATTGTTTTCCTCTCTTGCCTTTCATATGTCCTATGAGTATCAAATTTTCCAAGCCCACTTTCCTTATTATGTGCCCTAGAAATTTCAACCATCTCTTCCTGATGTTAGGTCTAAATGCATTTTTTTCACCATTTTGTTTAAAACTTTGTCCTTGCTCACATGTTCGGTCAATGGTATCATTGTCAGCTTTCTGAAGAACCACATTTCTGTTGCTTTAAGTTTTCTTCATCTGTGGGGAGATTGTCCAGCATTCACTGTCATATAAGAGGACTGATGTTATGTAACAGTTCAGTACTTTTTCATGTTTCTAATGAAATTTTCCTATTTCTTAATATTTTGCTTAGTTTTTGGAAGTCATCTTTTGCTATCTCAATGCATCTTCTGATTTCAGTGTTGGACTTTCCATCCTCTGTTAAAACATTTCCCAGATATTTAAATTGTTGTATTTGTTTGATTTTGGTACCTCCACTTGAAATTAGAAATTTAAAATCTTGAGTGTTGATCCCTAAAATGAAGCTGCTATTATCACTAATATTTTTTAAACTTTTAAGAGAAGAATATAAAGATTTTTCTGTGTCTGTTGAGAACACTGTAGCCATGTCAGCCATTAAATTCTCTCTTTCTTATATAGCAGATGTTAGAACACTTTTTGCTAAAGCTCACTGGTAGAATGTTTTGGCTTCATCAAAAATAATTTCATTGGCCAAGTTTCTTGTACTGATTTCTCATATGATTCAGTATAGTAGGGAGATTTTATTAAGATAGGTGATTTTACACACTCCTTTTTTTTGTGTGGCCAATATGTTCCCTGATTTACATTGAAAGACACACCAAGGAAGTTTACTACCGTTCTACAGACCATTACTTCAATTCTTAACCTGTAATCCTTAAAGAATTTAAAATGTGGATCCTTTATTTTTTTTCGACCTCCCTGGGTCTTTTACCATATACAACCATCAAGCCATCATCACAGTATAATCTCTTAAGGGATTAAAAGTAATCCAGAATTAATATAAACATTACTGAAAGAATTGGACAGATATATGTATAATGTAAATACATTTAAAAAGTTTTAATATAGGAAAGACTAACAAATAATTTTAAAGAAATTCATTGGAAATCAGCAAGAAAGGGATTAAAAGTAATCCAAAATTAATGTAAACATTACTGAATTTGGTTTGTTGGTTTGTTTGTGTGTTTTATGGCATATCAACCTCATTGGGTTATTTAATGCCGACAAATTTTTATTGCTGGTAATGTTTTTCTTCAAAAATCTATTTCTGAGAATATTTTTCCTACAAGAAATCTATAACTGGTAATGTTTTTTTTTTTTCAAAAAATGTATAGCTGTTTGTATTGCTGGTATTTTTTAAAAGTATTGCTGATAATTTTTCCTTCAAAAATTATTGCTGGTAATTTTTTTTTAAAGTATTTCTGGTATTAAAACCTATTTTTACACAAGTTTGCCCATAGCTGGGACCCTAACAGATGCTACCACACCGGGTCAGAGTGGACCTGGGAGCACCAGCAATTAAGAGGTGGTTCTACACTCCTCAAAACCTCCTGATCAGAGGCCTTGCTGTTGAACGTAGTTTGTCTTACTCAGGACACAGATATAGTTTATCAGCATACCTAGGACAAAAACATTACTGAAAGAATAAGACTAGTATATGTATAATGTTATTGTAGGATAAATCTGTCAAAAACTAACTGGATTTTTATTTTGTGCTTTTTGCAGCCCCATGCAATGACTGTATTTTACTAGACAAATTGTGTAACCAATAAAAAGCAATGTGGAACAAATTTATAAACAAAGCAACATTATACTGTGCTACAAACAATAACACTAATCAATACTATGTCAATGAAAGCAAACATCTACTTACAATAGTGATGCTAATAGCATCATCAAACTGTTTCATGATGGTGCTAACCAAGGCTGAAGCAAGAAGCAACAAAATCAATGGGTTGTTGAACTGCAAGAGAAACAAACAAACAATTCAGCTTTAAATTATTTAACTGCTGGATGCACAAAAGTTGATATATGATTAATATAAAGTCAAAAAAAAATAAATAAATAAATAAATGGAAATTTTTTTTAAAAATTAGCAAGAATGGACAGAATTTTCTTTTGGGTAGAAAAAAGGGTTTCTGTACATAAAAGTAAAATCACAATAATAAGCACATATTGATATATGTAAAATTATGTAATTGAATGCATGTCAAGGTGAGTAAAATGTCAATCAAAGAGCTCAATAGATATAGAGAGCACTAATTATCATAAATGAATAAAAAAAAAAGTTCATGATACATATCTAAAACAAACTTGAAGTTCAAGAACTTTAACGTTCATCTGTGTCAAGAATAATCGTATTATTGACAGAGTATATATTTTTAAAAAAACTAAAATTTCCTATACACACAAATGTTAATTCCATAACATTATGACAACTGAAAGCCTAAACATTCAATTTTTTCCTAATTGTTATTCTTTAATGCAAATGTTCATAAACATATGTGTATATATATATATATATATATATATATATATATATATATATATATATATATGTGTGTGTGTGTTTTATGGAGTGGTTTCACAGTGGAGGCTTGTATTTGTACTAAGTCGGTCCTAAAATAGGTTCGACATACAAAACGTTAGGAACTTGATATAATAGGTAATGATGCAGAGAAATCTAGTTGTGGTTGCTGATACTTTAGTATCTGACTAACGGTCGTCTGGCATTGACTGACTGACCCCCTGAGCGACTCCCTACTCTTACTACTCCTACTTATTATAGGTGGGAGAGTCTATTAACTATAGAATAGGTGTGTTCCATTATAACAATATACACACACACACACACACACACACACACACAGTAAAACTTTGAATTAATGATTCCGGAACCAACGTACTTTAATGAACAAAATCCACAGAAATGGTGTCTGGCTGAAACTTAAAACGCCTGTACATAGTGAGCAAAGTCTGTGAGTTCAGAGACTGGTAGCTCTGGGTATAGCTGCTGTTGTTTAATTAAGTGCTCATCATGTATACACATGCATCGTCTCTTGAAATTTTTATACTGATTTTGGTACTGTATACAGTATTTTCTTTTGTCAAACCCTTCATTAGTAGCCATGATTTGGAGGAAGAGGTGGTGGAACAGCCGAGGATGTCTAACATGCACGATTCTGTTGACACTCTCCTAAAATTTGTTGATGTAACCAAAAATCGAGAAATTAAAGCATATTATCAACACCTTTGAACATTAAGGGATTTGATAATTCATGAAAAGTATCAAAGTGTGAAACAAAGTTGGATTCATTCTTCCAGCCCAAACAGATATGAAAGTGACCCCAACTCGCCACCACCACAACTTTCTCCCACCTGCACGTCCTTATCACCCCTCCCAAGCACCGCACTTTCACAGCAGTATCAAATCATCATAGCAATGATTAAAGGTAATTTTAGGTAGACTTGAAAACTTTTCAAACTTTATTTAAAAGGTATATATTAACTTAAAATATACATATATACTGTATTTACTTTTATTTACAATAATTTTGTACTGTACTGAATGTTTTAGGCCACAAAAAAGAGTGCTTCAAATTAACAGACAAATGGCTTTAACAGACAACCCTCCTCCATTAGTCCGTTAAATTGAGGATCCACTTTATATATATATATATATATATATATATATATATATATAAATATTTATTAAAAAAATTATAACACAAGTATGTTATAACATCACTACAAAAATAGCCATTTTGTTTCAACACTTCTGATATCTTGTCAAGTCAAGGTGTTGATTGTAAAATAAAAAGTTTTTATTTTACAATCAACACCACTGAACCTATATTCTACATGGAACTGTCAGAGGAGACATATTTTCTATGAAATTTCTTGGACATTCAGGCCAGTAAATATAGTTAATACTGTTTATTATAAACAGAGCATTTACATAAAAATTTGTATCTATAAAAATAATGGATAAACAGAAAATATATCAAAATAATTATCAGACTTTGTCCATTTCATAATATATATATATATATATATATATATATACACACACACACACACACACAGAGTGGAACCTCAATTCATGAATTTAATTCACTCCTGAAACTGTTTGTAACCTGAAATATTCTTAAGCCAAAACTATTTTTCCAACAGGGATCATTGATAAAATGGATTAATCCATTCCTGTTCCCAAGATGATTGCTTATTTAAACTCTAACAACAGTACTTTGTGTACAAGTTTATACACAAAACTAATGAAAATCATTAAATCTAAGAAAAAAAAATAAACCAAATACTAAACAGATAAAATATAGATGAACATTTTAATTTTACTGTACCTATAAGTAGGAGAGAGTTGATGGTGTAAGAGGAAGGAAAGACATGATCATCTCTTTATTTATAAGAATAGTGTATATATATATATATATATATATATATATATATATATATAGTATTTTTGCTATATGAAACTGAGTAGGAAGAGACAGTGTCATCAACAATTGTTCTTCTTTTAACTTTTCTTTCTCCTTTACCAGTATCACTGCTAGCTTATTTTGGAGCCATATTAATGTGCATAGGTCCTTAGATTTCGCAATCAATTTCAATTATTCCCAAGTTATAAAAATTGTTATTGCACAATAAATTTGTTGTCAAAAAAAAAAAAAAAAAAAAAAAATTGAAAAATAAATGAAGTTTCCGTAAATCACAGTAATGAAATCTTGGGAAACAAAATTTCTGTAACACAAACTACTGAAAGTCAGAGAGTTATATATATATATATATATATATATATATATAAATAAAACATAATTTTAAGGTATGCTATATATATATATATATATATATATATATATATATAAATGCGTAAAAGTGCTCAACGTCAAAGATAAATTGTATATAAATGTAAAAGTGAACCCCAAAGTCAATATCAAGTGGCAACAGTTTGTTTCATGCTTGGACAAAATTTTCATACCATGTGTATTGGCTCAACTATTTATATAGGCTGGTCAATTATGCATTATGGGAAATAAGGTCTATTATATTATCTTAACAATTATTGGGTCAGCAATAATGAATACGTTTCAAATTCTTACACAGGTTATTGAGTAGAAATAATTGTGGATCCAAATACAATTATTTGTAATTATTTCATAGTGCTGTTAACTTTTTCTTTGTTTTATTATTGATTACACAATTGTTACATTTACTTGAGTTTATGTGTGTATTCATAATTTGTTAATTTTGTAATGTTATTATTTTTAATTTTTATTATTTATTTATTTACATTTTTGTTTATTTTATTATTTATTTTCTCCTGAGTTGGTTGTTTTATTTGTTTAGTTCAAGGTATTGGTTTTGTCTAAATTATGTTGCATTATCTGCATTATATATATATATATATATATATATATATATATATTTGTGTGTGTGTATGTATCAATATTTGATTATATATATATATATTTGCATTTATCATAGTGGTATTTTACATAATATTTGTTTTTAGATTTTGATTTTTAAGTAACATAATGAAAATTTGTTTATGAATTAAACTTATCAGACATAAATTCACAGAAGTCCCGAGGTAAAAAAGAAAAAAGAGATGCATGTTCGATTCCTGTCAGAGGCAAAATTTTCCTTTAGTAGAATTTCTCACTCTAGGTTGGATGTATTAATTTCTCTGTTTAATAAAATAAAATCAGAAACACACCCAATATAATTAATGTTTTGCAATAAGAAGTGTGTGTGTGTGTGTGTAGGAAGTAGAATGATATCCAAAACAAAAGACAAGATGATGGGACTATGTGGAAAAACCAAAATATACAAAACAATAAGTAAAAAGCAATAGTCATATGTTCTTTCTTTCTTCTTTTTATGCGCCATGTCCTTTCAAGACATAGGCAATTATGGCTCTCCACTTCCCGCTATCCTTTGCAGTTCTCAGCAAGTTCTTTCCCACTGCTTCCTCCCCCAGACCACGTTCTGTCATCCACCCACTCAAGCTCACCAGGTATATCATGCACTTCTTTCCCTTGTCTCTCTTTCCCTCTATTTGACCCATGAGTATCAGATTCTCTAGGCCCTCCTTTCTCATTATGTGTCCCAGAAACTTCAGCTGATGTTAAGTATAAGCCTTCTCCTTATTTACAACCTCTCTAAGATCTCATCGTTGCTCACACGCTTGGTCCATGATATCCTTAGCATCTTTCTGTAGAACTACATTTACATTACCTTGAGTCTCTTCTTCATCTTTGAGGAAATCGTCCAATATTTGTAAAAAAGGACAGATGTCATATAACAGCTCAGTATTTTTTTTTTTCTTTTTAAAACTTCATGTGGACCCTTAGAGGTTGATGCTATTGTCTTCACATTCCTCAAGTGGTAAAAGTAACAAGATACTCAGTTCCTGAGCCGAGAACTGAGTGAAGAGATTATTAAAGAACTGAGTATTTCGTCACTCTTACAGTTGAGGATTGTGAGATAAAATCATCCACGTGATTCCATGAAACTTTAAGTCATGGAAAGGTTATAACATATGTATACTGTATTATATATATATATATATATATATATATATATATATACCATATTTTCCATCTTAGAAGACGCACCCTAATAGTGCAAAGAAATTTCTAAGAAAAAAAAAAAGTAATTCTCATACATTCACATTCACCATGCGTCCCTCAAATACTGGTGCCATTTTTATTGTTTACATTAATCCTTTTAATTTCATTTTGTTTGTACAGCAATGACATACTAGTCAAAAGAAAAATGACTCCTGCTGCTAAAAAACAGAGCATATTTAAGCTAGTGGCTCAGCTCCAGGAAGGTTTATAGTCTTGGAAGTACTTGTAAAAGCTAAGTACTGAGGTTACATCATACAAAATGCTGAATTAGATAGCTAACATTATAGTGTAAATACTCAACATATAAATCCACATT